GGAGATATCTGAGGTTCACAGTTTAGCTTGCTGAGAGGCACACGGCATCACTCCTGTGGGAGCATCGTTTGTAGGGAGGGTGGCTTCCATGTAGCATAGAATTTATACACGAAATAAATTATTATTCAGTAATATGACAATAGAAAATACAATAGGCAAGCCGGGTATGGTGGCTCACACCTCGAATCCCAGGACTTTGGGAGGCTGAGGCGAGTGGATCACCTGAGGTCAGGAGTTCAAGACCAGCCTGCCCAACATAGTGAAATCCCATCTCTACTAAAAATACAGGAAAATTAGTTGGGTACAGTGGAGGGCACCTGTAATCCCAGGTACTCGGGAGGGTGAGGCAGGAGAATCTCTTGAACCTCGGAGGCGGAGGTTGGAGCTGAGATCACGCCATTGTACTCCAGCCTGGGCAACAAGGGCAAAACTCCATCTCAAAAAAGAAAAAAGGAAATACAATAGATGTTTCACTGATGAACAAAACAACTGAAGAATGGAAGGAGCAATGTGATCCTGGTGAACTGAGGCAGACTGATCAACAATCCTGAGGTTTGCTCACTCTGTTTCATAGTTCTGCTGGCGTCTTTGGATCATGGTACCGAGGGTTTTGGTTTTATTTTTTATTTTCACTGATTATTTGGAGTTCTTGACTCCAAAGACTTGTCGTGCGACAGTGACATTCTCCATCAATCAATTATTGCCACACAATGAATGAATGAATGACTTATCCCTAGTGTTGTCTGAAGGATGGTAATTAGGACAGTGCTCAGCCTCTGTCCATGAGCTGCCGCAGAGCTGCCCTTGGAAGGAACACAGAAAAGACAGTCCATTTCAGAGAAGCTTTGGCCAAAACCTCAAAACATTTCTTAGGTTTCCTGGTGTCTTGGCTTCTTCTCCGTATTGTTTGGGATGACCTTCACCTGGCTTGTAGGCCTTCAGCTACAGATTGGGCTGCCTTTTTCTTGCTCGATAGTGTTCATTTCCAAGTAGCTCGAACCCCCTCTCAGTGAGCCCTGGGCATCGCTTAGGGGCCACAGGGATGATAACTTGAAGAATTGGCTGGCTGAATCTTGGGGACTCTGTGTTGTCTCTAAGCTGCTTGGCCGGGAGGATCTACCTGGAATTTACTGATGCCCAGCTTAGCCCTGACTTAGATTCACCAGTAAGGTAGGGAGAATGGGCGTGGCTTTTCCCACCCCATTGTCTCTGATTGGCCTCCTAATTCCATCCTCCAGACTATGCCCTGACTCTCAGGTCATGAAGAACAGGGAGCATTTACATCTTTTTTACACTCGTAAATCTGCATTAGAACTATGTCTCAGCTGTCCTTCCCCTCCCAACCCAGCGCCTTCCTCAAGTGACAAAGCCCTTAAGGTAAAAAGGGTGGCAAGGTAGCAAATGCATAGTCACTCTGGGACTCCTTCTCTTACCTGGAATCATGGCACCAGCCCCTGGTGCTGGCTGTGCTCTTCTTCCTGTGGCCGCCTGTCAGGAAGGGCCGACAGCAGGTGCACTGTTCTTGTACTTCATTTTGTTCTTAACTGAAAAGTTTGTAGATTTGCAAATTGGCTTCTGGAAGTGGAAAGGTTGGTCAAATTCAGCCTTGTGGCAGGGACAACAGTAGAAACAGAAGAAGCAGAAACACTATCCAAAAATGTGTAATTTCTGGCCGGGCATGTGGCTCACGTCTGTAATCCCCGCACTTTGGGAGGCTGAAGTGGGCAGATCACCTGAGGTCAGGAGTTTGAGACCAGCCTGGCTAACATGGTGAAACCCTGTCTCTACTAAAAATACAAAAATTAGCCGGGCATGGTCTCACGTGCCTGTAATCCCAGCTACTTGGGGAGGCTGAGGCAGGAGAATCGCTTGAACCCAGGAGGCAGAGGTTGCAGTGAGCTGAGATCATACCACTGCAGCCAAGGCGACAGAGCAAGACTCCATCTTAAAAAACAAAGAAAAAAAAAACAAATTAAAAAAAAAAGAAAAGAAAATCCAAAAATACATAATTAGAAAAGGCAAGGTGATACCAAAAAATAATTACACCTACTTTGTGCCAGGTACTGGGTTTGGCACACATAACACTGAGATGGTGATGGTTCTTGGCCCAGGAATTCACTGCCTTTTGAGAGGACCAGTATGTATACCCAGGCCCACATAGCAGGCATCCCGCTGATCAGAGCCTAAACAGAGGAGTGGGTTTGATCCTGCAGAGAATGAAGTGGTATTTCAGAGGGAGGGTAGACAAGCAAGGATATGGAGACGCTGCACAGTGATGTCTACACTGCAGAGACGCTCTGAGGTTTGATTTGGTGTGGGCAAAAGGAGTTGTGCTTTAGCATGGAATGGAAGGATGCTTTAGGATTGAGCCATGAAAGTCCGGATTGTTCCTCAGGAGGCCGGTGCTCATCCAAGATTTGGGGCAAAGAAATCACAGGCTGAGCTTCTGCTATAGGCACTCGCCCTGCTGTCCCTGGGGAGGACAGACTGGAGGTGGGAAAGTGGAAGCATGAAGGCCCTCCTGGGGCTGCCATGTTCATAGCCTAGACAAGAATTGGTGCACGCTGGGTCTGGTTCTGAAGTGGGCATTGCAAAGGACAAGATTCAACAGGTACAATGGATAAGTCCTGGACACCAGCTGCTTATGTGGGAACAAGGAGACAGTGAACTCCAGAAGTCCAACAAGAAGGAAGAATTTAACACTGGGTACAACTCTTTGAGAAAGTGAGCTTCTGCTCCCAACATCGCATTGCCCTCCTGTTTCTTAGGAACAAGGCTGTTTTGCTAAACAGAGACAGGACTGCTATTACTGCTTTAGAAAAAGTGCTGAATGTGCTGTTTGTTTGTTTTCTGGAGCCAACGATTGGGCCCTCCACTTATTTACTTGTTTATTTTTCTGAGTAAATGAAACCCAGCCCTGGGCCCTGACCTCTGGGCGCTGGGTGAAACAGCACACGAGAGCTTCCAGGAATGGCTCAGCAGCAGCTTCCCAGAAGCAGGGAAAATGCCATTGCTCCAGAAGAACTTCCCCAGCCAGATGTTTTACCAGTTCCTTGAGATGGCAGAGTCTGTGCATGGCTGTGGCGCATCAGGGTAGAGACATCACTCTTGGAGGATTAGGTGGACTTCCATGAGAATCTGCCTTCTGCTCCAAATTAGAGTCTTTCTAGGAAGGTTTCATTTCAAGGGTCACTATTCAAATTCTACCTTCTATAAAACTCATTCTGACCTTGATTACCTGTTCTTTTTGTTCCTGGTTCCAATAACTTCCTCTGCTGCCCCTGAGGCTCTCAAATTTTACACATTTCCCCAGCTCAGCCTTCCCAGCTCTGCCCAAGAGCAAGGCTTGGGTGACACCCTCACTCACCCCACCCCCAAACATATGCTCTTTGTCATTCTTGGTTTTCTCAATGATAAAGAGTCAATAGAAGGATAAGAAAATCAACTGGCTTTGCTCTGAGGCCTGAGTCAGACTCCCAGATGGACGGATTTTTGGTTTTTGTGCAGATTTGGGGTCAGTGAAGTGTAGCTCGTGGGCCAAATCTAACTATTGTCTTTTTTTATTTGTTTGATCTTTGTTTTGGTCACAGGGTCTTGCTCAGTTGTCCAGGCTTTAGTGCACTGGTACCATCATGGCTCACTGCAGCCTCAGACTCCGGGGCTCAAGTAATCCTCCCACCTCAGCCTCCTGAGTAACTGGGACCACAGGCATGTCCCTGGATAATTTTTAGATCTTTTTTTTTTGTACAGACGGTCTCACCATGCTGCCCAGGCTGATCTCAAACTCCTGGACTCAAACAACTGACTTGTCTCAACCTCCCAAAGTGTTGGGATTCCAGGCGTGAGCCACTGTGCTGAGCAAGTGTTTGTTTTTATACAGCCTGTGAGCTAGGAATGGCTTTTCCATTCTTTTAGTGTTTGAGAAAAAACTCAAATGAGAATAACAGTAGTTCATCCCACATGAAATTTATATAAAATTTAAATTTCAGTGTCCATAAATCAAGTTTTGAATTTCATCAATAAAAAGCTGAGGAATATTTGTTTCCTGTCTTACTCTAGAAATACCTACATAATCTCTTGGATTCTGCATCTTTGCCTGCAAATCTGGGACTATTTACTATATAACCCTTTATAGAAAAAATTCCAGGTATGGGGGCTTTCTGTTTAGTCAGCTGGGTTAAAAACTCTAGCTAGAGGCAGGTGTGGTGGCTTGCATCTGGAATCTCAGCTACTTAAGAGGTGAAAGAGGAAGATCCTTTAAGGCAGGAGCTCGAGACCAGCCTAGGTAACATAGTGAGATCCTGTCTCTAAAACAGGCAAGCAAACAAAATTGCTGGGCATTGCGGTGCACCTGCAATTCCAGCTAGTCTGGAGGCAAAGGCCGGAGGATGGCCTGAGCTCCGGAGTTTCAGATATAATCGCATCAATGCACTCCCAGCCTGAGGTGAGGAATGAGACTTCACCTCTAACAATAACAACAAAAATAGCCAGAGGCCAGGTGCCTTAGCTCACGCCTGTAATGCCCGAACTTTGGGAGGCTGAGGCGGGAAGATCACTAGGTCAGGAGTTCAAGACAAGCTTGGCCAAGATAGTGCAACCCCCGTCTCTACTAAAAATACAGAGAGTAGCTGGGCGTCGTGGTGGGCACCTGTAACCCCAGCTACTTGGGAAACATGAGGCAGGAGAATCGCTTGAACCCGCGAGGCAGAGGTTGTAGTGAGTGTCAAGATCGCTCCACTGCACTCTAGCCTGGGGGACAGAGTGAGACTCCGTCTCAAAAACAAAACAGCAACAACAACATAGCCAGGGAGGGAAAGATCTTCTAAATCTTAGTTTGTGTGCCTGGTGTATTGGCTGCTTTTCTAACCCTTACTATTTGATTTTTGCAAAGTAATAATAATACAATTGATTAGACTGGTGATTGCGATTGCGGCCCTTGGAGCCGCGGGGCCGGGAAGGTGTGAGCAGCAGTGCTGACCGGCCACTCTTTCTGCCCGCAGGTCACAGGCCTTTCCAGTGCCGCTACTGTCCCTACAGTGCCTCTCAGAAGGGGAACCTGAAGACACACGTCCTCTGCGTCCATCGCATGCCTTTTGACAACAGCCAGTATCCGGACCGCAGGTTCAAGCGCTCCAGGGTCGACTCGGAGGCTTCTGGGAATTTCGAGGAGCCCACAGCTGTCAAGGCGGGGAGCTCGGCCGACCTCACAGAAGAGGGCTGCAAGGGCCAGGAGGAGACCAACTGAACAGACCAACCTGTATATTGCAATAGTATTTTACACACAGTTTTAACGTTATGCATCTGATAAAAGTTTGCTAACTGCATTCCAAGGGGAAAAAATCATGTAAAACCCCCCCAATAGTGTATAGAACATTTAAAAAATTTTAAAAGATATCTATATATATATTAAAAGATCCCCCAGCCCTTGAAAATGGCTGCTAAACTGTTACCCAGCAACAAATACTTCCGAAACAACGCAGGTGGGAGAAAAGTGATTTCAAAAACGCTTGGTGTCCTCCGAGCATGAGAGAGCTGGGGGCCCTTCCCACTCGAAAGTCGTCTTTGTCCAAAAATAATGCTCTTAACCGAAACACGATACCATCTAAATGATTTAGTGTTGCGTTGAAGATGGAGGGGCTGTGTTTTCGTTGTTGAAAACACCTCTATAATCTGACACCAGCTGCCGTCATTTGCCTCCAACCCTAATGAGATGTGTCGGGAGGCAGCTGCGGTGCCAGTCAGACTGGAGCGGTCACTGCAGAGAAAATCAATCCACGTGGTGTTGTAACTGCACTCTTGGAGAAACCCTAGACGGCCCGCAGCCAGCGCCAGGGCTGACCGGCACTGCAGAGGATTGATATCTGAAATGTGCATTTTTACAAAATACACAGCCAAATGAAATCAATGATCAGGAAGTGTCTGCAGACCAATGCCCATTGCAGATTTGATGAGTAATTCCTTTTTTTTTAGATTGAATTGCCATATAGAGGGAAATATTTTGTTCTTTTTTTTTTATTTTTTAAAAAAATTTTTGGATGAAGAAGGAAGTCGTTATTAAAAAAAATTGTAGGGTCCGTTATATAAAATGTTGTTAGGAAAACTAGCTAACCCCATCCATAGTAGATGCTGGTGAGCAATGAAAATTTAGGTAATAATAGATTTTTTTATTATGATTTTTAAAATTCTACTTGAATGAAGGCTGCTCTGGTCCTTATTATCAAATTTTGTTTCCATGTGTTGGTTTTTATAAATGTCACAGACACGAAGTAAGATTTTCCTCTCCAGCAAGCTCTTATGAAATAGCTTGTATTAAAATATGAATCTAAACATCCTGCTGTCTCTAATGACGACAACTGTTTGAGTTAAATGTCTGTTTTTGTAAAACAAATGTGTTCCATATTTTTGTATATTTTAGATTTTTCTACTGATTGGATACTCCAAATTTATCAAGGTCTGCACCACACAGAAGGAGATTTCGAGTGTCAATAATGAAACACTTATTTCAAAAAACGATTTAGGAAGCCGAGTTAAAGGTTTATTCTTGAATCTGCTAGCATGGTGGAAGGTGGAGCTTTTTAACATACTTCCTTTGAGTGACATAAAATTGGTGCTGTTGCTTGTGGTGGTAGAGAAGTATGGAAGTCTCAACTTCTTCTAAAACAAAATCATTCAGACTTAAAAAAAAAAAAGTCAATATTTCCTTGCAGGCTGGGAGCACAGATTAAACCCCAGGGCCTTAAAAACTTCAGCTCTGCCTACAGCAGTTTACAAAAATACTAAACTGCAATCAATGTAAATAAAATTCTTAGTGCTATCCTGAGACCAGAAAGAATCTCAGGCTAATAAGGAATCCGGTTTGCATATGCTGTCAAAAGGGTGTCATCTAACCGAGGTTTCAGTGTAAATGAGGTCGCTGTGCAACTTGGACCCATCTGGCATAGAGCAAGCTGCTTTCTTGTTTTTCTAGTATAGTTCTCACTGCCTTACTTAAATCGAGTTGATAAACTTAATGCAACTGTTTCTATGATCCTAGAGAAAGGACTGAAATGTTGTTGAAAACTTTCCGACTGTAGTACGCTTTAGGATTCTAACTGCACTACTGTGTTTGCTGACTGTGCCAGTCCCTTGCTTTCTGTGCTTGCTCTGCCTTTGGTATCTTAGCAAAGAAAAATTAAAAAAAAGAAAAAAAAAGATGAAAAAAAAAGAAAAAAGAAAAAAAAAAGAGGAAAAAAGTGGGGGAAAAACGAGAGCCACATTCCATTTCTAGCACTTTGGGAGCTCTTTCAGTATTTTTTTGTGTCTTTTCAGCATCCTCCGATGCGACAGGCAATAATTCTGTTTGTGACACTGGGAACACCCCCTCTTCTTTGTGGTGTGCGTGTTGATTCCATTTTGTCCAGTGCTACTGTCCTCCTTCCCCCTCTGACACAGGCCTTCTTTCCGGAACATTTGTAACTTGTAATACAAACAAGTGACAGCCACAGTGAAGCAGCGTCAGTTTCTGAATGTCATCAGGTTCTCATATCTAAACATGTCAAGTTTCTTCCCTGTAACTTCTGTAGTCTGTGATGCTGGTCATAATACTGTCTACATTCCTACGCAAAGAAAAAAAAATCTATCTTGGAGGAAATCTGAGATCAATAGGAGTAGAGGATTTTGTTGCTATGCTTGTAACAAGTAGAAAACTTTGTATTTAAAGTTTATTCTTGGTCATTATTTATTATTATAATACATCAGTTGACAGAACTTTATTCTGGTATAGAAAGTATTAAAAGTTGTTTTTTCAGCAATGACTGTTTTCTTTCTGCTGTTAGAATAAAATGTCTTTGAAGCAGCCCAGTTTTATCCAGTGTTTTACGCAATAAAACCTCTACCTCTGGGAGAAAAAAAATCACATCTTTTCCTATTCACTTATGTTTACTAGGAGGAATTAAACATATTTTTGCAGGTTTGTCAGACTTTGGCAAGACTTTGTCAAACTCCATGTATAAAAAGCTCTGTACTGAGTCGGGCACTATAGCTCACACCTGTAATCCCAGCACTTCGGGAGGCGGGTCACCTAAGGTCAGGAGTTCAAGCGCACGTTGGCCAATATGGCAAAACCCTGTCTCTACTAAAAAATACAAAATCGGCCTGGCTCAAGCCTGTAATCCCAGCACTTTGGGGGGCTGAGGTGGGGGGGATCACCTGAGGTTGGGAGTTCAAAAGCAGCCTGGCCAACATGGTGAAACCCTGTCTCTACTAAAAATACAAAAACCCGCTGGGCGTGGTGGCACACACCTGTAATCCCAGCTGCTTGGGAGTCTGAGTCAGGAGAATCGCTTGAACCTGGGATGTGGAGGTTGCAGTGAGCCGAGACTTCGCCACTGCACTCCAGCCTGGGTGACAGAGGGAGACTCCGCCTCACACAAAACAAAACAAGAAGCCAGGTAGGGTTCTGCAGTACGAATGATCCTCTCAGTCCGATGCTTTTTCAAGCTGACTGAATCTCTATGCCGCATACACAGTGTGTGAGTGGGGATGTGTGTGTGTGTGTGTGTGTGTGTGTGTATGCACATGCATGTGTGAGCTGCGCTTCTTTAAATGTCTGCAGACATGCAGTTCAGTAAGGTAAAGCCTATGGAAATACTATGCTCTTCGTATTACAGTAATTATATAAGGCACTTAGAGCATTGGGATCTATTATTTCTCTTTACTGGTAGAAAATCTTTTTTTTTTTTTAATCATTAAATGCAAGGAAGTCTTTTACTTCCAAATTATCGGAGGATAATCTGAATTCTTCCTTTAGAAGAAAAAGAAAAGAACAAAGGGTGAGAAAGTCTCTGGTAGCAGGGACTACTGCGAACACAGAGCGCCGACACGGATTTGAGAGGGTTTGAAGCGCATGCTCAACACGGGATGTGCAGACCTTCTTTCTGATTTGTTTTGTTGTTGTTTTATTTTGGTCTCAAAAACAATCGTGAATAATGCATGCTGCAGTTCTGGAATACGGAGGACCCGCTGGAATGTTACAAGCAAAGACATCTGCCGAATTTTATAGAAATGTGTCAGTTTACCGTATTTCAGGGTGTGAGACTGTGTCCTTGGGTGGGAGCAGATGACTTGAATGAAATCATCGTCAGTCCTGACTGTCTGTTCTTATGAATATTAAAGGTGAGCTAAGAGGTTATAACCAGGTGGTCAGGAAGTGAACCTGTGAGGGAGAGAAGACTGGGATGCAGAAGGCTGAATTAGGGATTCTAATATCTACCCACATCACATACCATGATGGACCTCAAACCCACCAGTGCCACACAAGGCACTACAGTGGCGAGAGGAGAGTAGGAACACTTGGGGCTTCGGTGGCTGCACAGCGTGTTGCTCTGATGGGAGGGGAGGCTGTGAGATCTCAGTAAATGCACATTGTCACCAAGAGGAAGGTGACATTAAATTTTCTGAGTTTTCAAGATGTACTGGACACCTGGATTTTGTATTAAGTCTTCCAACTTTTCCCTGCTGGCTCGAAATTTATTTTAAGAAATTGTATATGAATGAATGAACAGAATGTGGTACACCAAAAGTGGAATATTATTCTGCCGTAAAAAGGAATGAAGCCCTGAGATGTGTGGTACAACATGGATGAACCCAGTGAGAGGAGCCAGTCACTAAAGGCTGCATATGATAGAATTCCATGTACATGAAATGTCTAGAATAGGCAAATCCACAGACACAGAAGTAGATTAGTGCTTGCCAGGGGCCAGGGGAGGTCAGAATGAACAGGGACAGCTAATGAGTATGAGGTTTCTTTTTGAGGTGGTAAAAGTGTTCTAAAATTAGATGGTTATGGTGGTTGTCCTACTTGGTGAATATACTAAAAACCACTAAATCACGCACTTTAAAAGAATGAATTTTATAGTATGTGAATTATATCTCAAGCTCTTATAAAAAAATAAAACCAGGAATCGGAGGCATTTTTAAGAAGCAACAATATATATTTCCATCAAAATATTGCTGAGTTCTCAAACAGCCGTACAGTTGATGATTAGTATAGAACAAATAATATACAAGTTGGGGCGTAATGGCTTAAATTTGAACCCTAGCTATATTACTTACTGGTTGCATAATGATCTTGAACAATTTTTTTTTTTTAGACAGTGTGTCACTCTTGTTACCCAGGCTGCAGTGCAGTGGACCGTCATATCTCTCTGCAGCCTTAAACTATTGGGCTTAGGCATTCCTTTTGCCTCGGCCTCTTGAGTAGGTGGGACCACAGGTCTGCACTACCATGCCCAGTTAGTTTTTAAAATTTTTATAGAGATGGGGTCTTGCTATGTTGCCCAGTCTGGTCTTGAGCTCCTGGCCTCAAAGGATCCTCCTGGCTCTGCCTCCCAAAGTGCTGGGATTATAGGGGTGAGCCAATCTTGAACAATTTAACTGTTCTCAGTTCATTGACAGTATCTATACAATTATGACAATTAGGTGCTATAAATAGGGAAATCATATGCAAATTTTGTGAAGTACTCTATGAATGCTAGGTATTATGATTATTGTGGTATAATGAGTTACAGATAAATTCAAGATTAATTTCACATGTGCAGAAAACTAGAACTTGATAAAATCCCCCATGCTTTTAAAGGTCCCCTTGTGGTCAGGTGGGTGGGATTCCTACACATCCATCTCGTTCAGACAAGACCACCCCAGAAAAAGGTCTTTAACTGCTGTTTCCTAACTTCCTCATTTGAAAAATCTGAGTATTCACAACTCTCTTGTCACTTACAGGGATGGGGGAAAGGGGTGGATGCAACAGGAAAAGGATTAACCTCAGAGGTAAATGTTATTCCATTCACTTGTTTAACAAATATTTACAGAGGACCTCCTGTGTTCCGGGCACTGGGGATGGGTCAGAGAGAGATATGCTGGTAAGTTAGAGATCACTGTCTTAAAGGGAAAACAGATTTAATCACACAAATAAATAAATACTATCTGGAAGAAGAGATTCAAGGAGAACAGTAATTCCTCGTGATAAAAGCCGAGGATTCACTGAGGGATGAAGGAGGGAGGGCCAGGCAGTGGAAGCAGTGCAAAGCCAGTGCTCGGTGTGGTTCGGGACGCTCAGGAGCTGTGTGGTCCTGTTACATCATTCCACTTCCCTAAATCAGCTGCTTCTCCATAAAGTGGAGCATCGAAGTGCCAACAACAGGAAACTCTTTTTGCAGTTAAATAAGATAATATATGTTACAGCTACGCAGAGAACAAGCTAGATGCTGCCGTGGTCAAAGGACAGTTCTCAAAGGTGACAGTGTCTGGAAACCCATGAGGACACGGAAATGGCAATGCCTGCTGCAGACACGTGGCTTTCTCATCCCAATCAGCCAGAAGCCACATGCCTTCTTCAGCAAGTAACCTCTCACATCCAGGTACCTCAGGCCCTTGAGGAGGAGTGGGTGAAAGTTTCCTGGGGCCCATTCAGGGTCTTTATGGCTCAGTCCATGGGCGTGGCCACCCTGGAAGCAGCAGTTTGCTGGAGGTGTTTCTAGAAAGTGGTCAACCATCCTGGATTCCCTGGGACTGATGGAAGGGTTTTCCAGGACATGGGATTTTTATAGTGCTGAAACCATTCAAACACAAATGGTCCCCCTAGGTCTAAGCTGGCTTCCTTTAGAAGCACATGTCTTATTTTGGCCAAGCCAAGGTCATGGCTGTCCCTGAGCTGGGAGGACAGTGGGAAGCCCAGTATGAGAAGGAAACCATGGCTCCAGGGCCCTCATAGTATAGGCTTTGGCACTGGGAGACTTGGGTTCAAAGCTTTCCTGCCATAGCACCTTCTCCGCAAAGATGAGAGATAACAAGGTACCCAAAATACTTAGTGTGGCACGTGGTCATTATTTTATCCTTGCTTGTGGAGTGATCAAATGAATCTTTGCTCCTGCTTCTTACCCAGGTGGGGAATGGCTCAGACATGAATTTCTCTTCCTAGTTGCTAGAAGCTTCTGAGCTGCTGATATCCAGCATTAAGATGCTTCTTTGTGCTGAAACTTTTATAAAGACGATAACCCTGCTGTCTCCCGTAGTTCAGGATTTGCACACTTCCCCCTCTCTGTTTAACATCTGTATTGTAACAGTATATTACGAAAACCTCACCTGGTGTATTGTAAGCACAATCCCAAGGAAATTAGTATTAAATATTGTGATCTTCATTTCAAGATAGAAGGGCTGGGCATGTTCCACCAAACTGGAGGTATGTTTCCATAGGGAAGGAGAAAAATTCATGGTGTAATACAATATTAAAAATGTCACCCAGCTGAGCATTCCATGTAGAGGCTTGTGTAGAGTTTTAATCTCTTCACCTGTTGGTGCTAAGAGAAAAGAGAGAGATGGGGTGGGGGAGGGAGACCGGGAGGGAGAGGAAGGGCTTATGTGAACAGGGAAATCACAAGCAAAGAGGAGGGGGAAAATTTAAATGATCCCAGACTGAACGGTTTTGCTGTTAATACAGAAATACAGTGCAAGACACATTTAATGGGCTCTATTTTTTATTATACTATGCTGAATAATTAAGTTTGAGGCTAAGTGTCACATGGATTTATCTTTTAATTAAAAAAGCATGGTTCACGCATATTTGAGTGGTAGTCCAAATAAATGCAATATAGAAATTTATGTTTGTTTATCTAGGTGTTAATTACCTAGAGATTGTTCTGGATTACTTCTTTTTATAAAGTGTCATAGGCTCGTGTCAGAACGAATAAAGCTTGGCTGTGGAACCTTATCAATTTGCTAACTATAGTGCCGGTCTGACCTGCGCGGGGGGGCG